TTCAACTATAAAATTTAATTTTCCACTCTCTTCCTCACACTCTCTTTCTCTCTCTCTCAAAATAGGTTTCCTCTCTCTTTCTCACACCCCTCGCTCCATGCCTACATCTATCTCTCTTCCCTCTCACCCCCTCATTTCACACCAAATCTTTATTTCTCTTCTTCACACCCTTCACTATCTCTTCCTCACACCCACTCTAAAAAATCTAGAGACCTTTTCTCTTCCTCTTCCTCAACAATGAGATTGAGACCATAAGCTAGATCAAAAGCGTGAGTGAGATTTTGAGCGAGATCAAGAGCGAGAGTAGAGCTTTTGAGCGAGATCGAGAGCAAGAAGAAAACGGCAAAACCGTCCAATAAAAGGAAAATAGAGTTGCCCACGGTTGGAACTTGCTCTCGACGGTCGGATCTCCCTCTCAAACGATCTTATTTTTAGAGAGAGAGAAAGTGTTCTATGAATTAATTGGATTTTTGTTCCATTCTAAATCTTATTTTTAGAGAGAGAAAGTATGTCTATCAATTTAGTTGAATTTTTGTTTATGTTTTTTAGAAAAAATTGAACGAGAAGAAAGAAGAAAAGAAAAATGAGGAGAGAGGAAGAATGATGACTTTTTTGAAGATATGGAAAAAGAGGGAGACGGAACAAGAGAGAAATCTAAAAAATGAGTGGAGCGATAGTGAAAGTAATTTGATATCAAAGATGATGCCAACAAAGATTAGAAAACATATATTTTGAAAAACATGGGTAAAAAACAATACTACCTTAGTAAAAGGGCTATTCAGCCCAAAAACCCAAAAAGCTTTCACTCATTATTCAATTTGATGAAATCAAGAGGAATAAAAATTGGCTTTTTCCTATAATTTTGTAAAAATAATTCGAGACATTTTACATGCATAGTTCAAAAGCACAACTTTCTAAAAATAAATAAATAAAAATAAAACTCAAAAGTATACGCATTATCCAACCATGAGAGAGATTAGATTCTGCTTTACCTCTGTTCCATTCATCGCCATCTCAACTCAACATGAACAATGATAAATTTTGAGAAAGCCAATCGCTATCCAACTCCCCATTAATCTTAAGTCTTTCGCTTCCTTAGTTATATAGTAAAAATTACAATGATTAATGTGGAATCTTTGCCAACATGAGCTTAACTCAGCGCTAATTTCTACCTATATCTGATCAAAATATTATGAGTTCGAATCTCCCACCTCCACATATTGTACTAATATATATATATATGTATATATATGAAATTTTTGACAGATAATTAAAGGGTTAGTCGAAGTTTACTCTTGACTAACAATGTTCGTCGGCTCATTTAAAGAGTTGATTGTGCAAGCCACCTAAAATAGGTATTTTTTCCTTTGGTTTTCTTGATAAGAGAGGTGAGCTTGATAAGAGTATTTTTACTCTGTATTTTGTGAGTGCTTCTTAAAGAGTGGTCTATGTGATTGTACCACTGATTATATTGTAAATTTTAGAAACCACCTATCTCAGTTTTTAAATATATATTTGATTATAGCGTAACATAACTCAAAGAGGATAGAACATAAAGTGAGACACAATCAAGGAGTATCGCGAAAGAGACAACGTAGGAATGGACAGGAATTGAGCAATGGTGACTACAAGGCGGGGAATGGACGGAATTGAGCAAGAGAGACAACAGTGGAGCAGCAAGGGGGTGACATAGGTGTAGGTGGGGCGGAGAATTGATGAAATTGAGCAGGAGATATAACGATGGAGCAACAAGGTGGGTGACAAAGTTGTAAGTAGGGTAGGGAGTGACGGAGGGTAAAGAAGAGAGAAGTCAACAGTATGAGTTCAAAGGTAGATTTTTTTATTTTTGTATTAATTGCATCACAAAATAAACATTATGTGTTCATCTTATTTTTCACAGTATATTTTCATCTTAATGTTCAGGTATTTGTCAATCTATTCATCGTATTTGTTCATCTGTTAACCATATTTGTTCATCATGTTTGTTACTATATTTGTTAGAATTTGTTCATCATGTTTGTTACTGTATTTGTTTCCATCTTTGGTATTGGTATTTCCGTTCCTAAAATAATTTTCATGTTTAAATTTTGGTATTTCTATTTCTAAAATAATTTTTTTAATTTTATTAGATTTTAATTTAATTAATATTTTTTCCTTTTAGGCTTGTCATAAAATTCTCTAGTAAAAATATTTGAATTAAAAAATAACAGATAAGATTCTCAAAATATTTAATGGATGTTTACTCTCACATCTTGACTTACAATGGTTGTCGGCTCGGTCAAAAAGTTGATTGTGCAAGCCACCTAAAATAGGTATCTTTTATTCTCTAGTTTTCTTGATAAGAGAGGTGAGCTTGATAATTTCGAGAAGCACTGTGTGATTGTACCACTGATTGTACTGTAGAATAATCCAAGAGGAAATTCCACTCTAAAATATGAGTCTCTTACTCTCTTTTTATTCTCTTTAGTTTTACGGTGTGTTTGGGAAGGATGGTAGAATTAATGATTTTTAAAAATTTGATTCAAGTATAATTGATTTTCCAAAATCATTATCCAAGTGATACATTCAAGATCAATTTAAAGTGATTTTAAGCTTTTCTATTGCCAAACATGATTAATGGAAAGGGAARCGATTTTGACAATAGCAAAAGTGATTTTGACCAGGCTAAAATTACTCTCAAACACACCCTTAATCCAGTAACATTCATTGATTTGTTACTGTTTGCTCTTCATTTTATTTCAAAGATATTATTAATGCTTCTTGTTATCAGTATATATAAACTTTGTCTGTGTGGTTTATCACAATAGATGTTAAAGTTGCTCACTAAAGTCTCGTCAATCGGTTGTAGATTCTGTGAAGTTTCGTTCAATTGGTTGCAATTGGTTGTAATTCTTTTTTGTTTTGTTTGTATTTCTGGTAGTCTGGTACAATAGATGTATAACATACAGTAGGTTATAAATACCACTGTTTTGGTTCATAAATAAAACAAGAAAATCAGTCACTTTGTTCATTCTTGTACAACTTTGAAATTGTATCAGAGCTTACAGTGTAACGACATCTCTCTACTGCAAAACAAATTTCTCTTTTTTAAATTCTGAAGTCATATCTTCTCAGATGAACAAAAAAAATTACATAATGAAGTAAGATTTCTACGGTAAGATTGAATGATGAAAATTTTTTGCTTTGGAAATTGCTGATATTAAAGCACTTCAAGGACATGGCCTTGAACACAGTATCATGGGAAATTCTGAAATACCTCCTCAGACTATTGCACCTGTATGAGAAGATTCTACATCAAGAATGATAGTCAATCCTGCTTTTAATCAATTGCAGAAGCAAGACAAACTAATTACTTCCTGGTTATTTAGCTCAACGTCAGAAAATATACTTGGCGAAATGATTCATTGCTCTACAGCACGCTAGGTATGGCAAATTCTCGAAAATATATATGCTTCTCGCAATCTTGCTCGGGTTATGCAATTGAAATCAAGATTGGAGAATTTCAAGAAATGAAACCTATCTCTGAAAAACTATTTTCAACAAATCAAGGCAATTATTAATTCTCTCGCTACTGCTTGCAAAAAGATTCTGATTGAAGATGACACCATACATATTCTTGTCAGATTGAGGGTCGATTTTGAATCTACAGTATTATTAATCTCAACGCGGACCCAATCCCAAACTCTTCAAGAAGTTTATTCGTTTATTCTATCTCAAGAAGCTCGTAATGAAATAAATTTGATTAATACTGATGGGTCTCTTCCATCGGTGAATCTTACTACACAAAGTAAGAATTCCTCTGCAACTGATGGACAATGTCACAATTCTACTTTTAGAGGTAGAAATGGTAATCCTAATTTTCATTGAAATTGGAATAATGGAAACCTACCCCAATGCCAAATATGTGGCAAAATTGAACATACAGTTGCGAGGTGTTATTTTAGATTTGAGAAATCCTTTGTTGGTCCAAATGGGTCTCCTTCATACTCTCATCAAGCAACAAATACCAGGGGTCCTACATCTGGTTCCAATACTCCCATGATTGCCTTCATGGCTGATAACTCTCCAAAAGAGAGTTATTTGTGTCTAAATTGCATAGAAGATAGCTAAAGATAGCCTCATTTAACCCCATATTCACTGAGTTGTGCCTAAATTAACAATTAAATCAAGATTCTGCTGTATAATGCTAGCACTAATATAAATGAGCTGATTTTTAAGTATTTTACTGTAGCTTTGATGATTCTACATCATCGGTTCAAGAAAGAGACAAAAAACAGCAAGTTAGCAGTGAAAAGACTTCTCAACGACATTTACCATAGTAACTGGAGGTTTCACCTGGGAGTGAGAGCTAGGTCCCACAGGGCTTGTTTTGTTGCCCTAAAATCGGAGGGAAATATAAAAGCTGCAATAAAGAGAAGCCTCCACACACAAGATTATTCCATCTCATTCTTGCAATCACAAAAACCCTCACTTCAAGAAAACCTCTCCAACCATTGGTAGAAGTCAAGAGGAGAAGAAGACCAAGCAACCGTAGCTGAGAAATAAGCCGAGAACTCTTGTAGGGAGCTGATTTTCAGCTCCCTCTCTCATCTTTTAAGCTATTTGTATTGTTTTTATTCCTATATTGTTGATTCCCATTATGACATTGTCTAGCTAAAAATCTTGTGTAAGGGGGAGATGTTGTGGACTCATTTTCTGGGCTGTAACCTTGTTGTTTTGCATTAATGACAGTACGTTTTGAGTTGAAGTTGTTGTATCACTCCATTTTTGATGTGCTTGATCACCATGTTGAAATATCTTCTTAATAACATTTGGAAAAATGTATTAGGGAGCGAAAAACTTCATCTCGAGCTAGAGTCTATTTGAGTTTAGAGTGTGGTGACTTGGGGATAAGCATCACCTAGCTTGGTCATAAAAACTGTCCATATATGCTCATATTGTTTATCTAATAACTCAAATGGTAGAAAATCTGGGGTGTTTGAAAGAACATCTTGTTTGTTTGACCACTGCATTAACTCCATTAATGTTGCAGCATCATTAAAGTGACCCAGAAAGAGTCGCCGTCCTCTACCCCTTACACTCTTATCTTCATAAGAAGTTACTTAGTGATTGTGAATGCTTGTTAGCCCTAGTGAAAATTTATGTGTGTTTGATAACATATGTTTAACCTACTTGCATTACTGCTCACTTTTGCATTTACTCAAAAGAACAATTATTTAGTTTATTGCATTGATTTCTTAAGTAAATATTGAGTGTTTGGGCATTTAGTCTCTGTGGATTCGAACTTTTTATTACTTGTTGCGACGATTGTGTACACTCGCACATATATAAGAATTGGTAACATAATCCGTATTCAACAATCGCACAGCAAAAATCTGGCCCTCGTAGCTTTTCTGGTAATGAACAACATATGAATGCATTCTTGGCGCAACAAACATTCAATCAAGATATCAATTGGTATCCCGATTCTTGGGCATCCAATCATGTCACCAGAAACTTCAATAATATTGTAGTCAATTCGAAATATATGGGAGATAACAAAGTGAAAATTGGCAATGGTGCAGGTTTGACAATTCTTCACACTGGTTCTTCTTTAGTTACACCTTCTAGTTCATCTTCTTTATCTTCTAAACTTGTTTTCATACTAGATAGTTTACTTCATGTAACTCACATAACTAAAAATCTTCTTAGCATTAGTCAATTTGCCCCTGATAATGTTGTGCTGTGAGTAAATGTCATAATCTTCCATTCTTTGAAATCAAATACTGTTTACTCTTCTCCCCTTGCAATTGTGATTACTGACCTTTGAGGACTAGCATCATTATCATCTTCCAATGGTTTTAAATGTTATATGTATTAGTTAGAAGTGGTTATATTTGTCATCGTAACTATGTTTTCTGTTGGTTACTATTGATTGTGTATTTAAACTCAAATAGCCCATCAATAATATTTGAGATTGAGATTATTATTTTACACCTTTTTGTTAAAGGTAACACGTTTCTTTTGATCCTGCCTACACGCGTCAAATCTTCTTGGTTCTCACACGTGTTGGTAACCACCATCGCCAAACAAATCTCAACCTCCATCATTAAGTAACTCTCAATCTCCATCTCGATCTCATCACTTTGAAGCTTAACCATGGCTTCCCTTTGTATTGAGAATGATCTAAATTCGCCCATCTTCCTTCTCTCTAATATCTGTAATTTGATCTCGATTCGGCTCGATTCCACCAATTTCATCTTATGGAAATTTCAGCTTACAGCCATATTAAAGGCTCATAAGCTCTTTAGTTTTATTGACGGTTCTTCGACACCGCCAGAGAAATTTGTTGCTGCTTCTACTCTTGAATCGTCTTCTTCTATTGATTCGGCTTCTCAGATGATTCCGAATACTACATATGCTGATTGGATTGCTCGAGATCARGCGTTGATGACACTGATAAACGCTACACTACTAGCCTATCTCGTCAGAAGTACTTCGTCCAAGCAGATTTGGGAGACCTTGAAGAAGCACTATTCTTCCAATTCTCATACTATTGTGGTAAATCTGAAGTCCGATCTTCAGTCCATAACCAAAAAKCCAGGTGAGTCAATTGACGATTATGTGAAACGAATCAAGGAAGTTAAAGATAAGCTCATCAATGTATCTGTTACTGTTGACAATGAAGACCTGTTGATTTATGCTCTAAATGGTCTACCTGTTGAAATATAATGTTTTTCGAACATCGATGTTCACTTGTTCTCAGTCCATCACTTTTGATGAACTCCATGTGCTCAGGAAATCCGAGGAGATTGTCTTGGAGAAACAGATGAAGCGCGATGATATTTTCTCTCAAATTACTGCTCTTATGGCTACTCAAAATTCTTCATCATCTCGCAATTCTCCTGGTTTTAGTCCAAATTTTTCCAAGGGAAGAGGAAATCAAGGTTGCGGAAAATTTTCTGGGAATTCCAATCGTGGAAATCACGGGCGATTTAATCGTTTCCTTTGGTAATTGTAACACCTATTCTAGCTTTCCTCAGTTTGAGAATCGTATACTCTGCCAGATATGTCACCGTCTTGGTCATTCGGCTATTGATTGTTTCAACCGTATGAACTACACATATCAGGGTAGACATCCACCTGCTCAACTTGCAGGTATGGTGGCCTCCCAAAACCTTGCTGTTGTTGGCCATCAACATCAACCTCTACCTACAACCAATTTTGTTTCTCAACCATCTGCCTTTGTCGTAATGCACCCCTCACAATGGCTTGCCGATTCCGACTGCAACACACACATTACTTCTGATCTCTCCAATTTATCGGCAGCATCTGAATATAATGGGGAAGATCATGTCTCAATGGGTAATGGCAAGAATCTTCCTATATCTCATACAAGTCGGTCTTTTTAATACTCCCCCATCTTCCTTTTCTTTATCTCACTTACTTTGTGTTCCCAATATTGCCTCCAATCTTCTATCTGTTAACCAGCTTTGTCTTGATCACGATTACATTATTCTTTTTTATTATGATTATATTCTTGTCCAAGACAAATCTACGGGCAAAATTTTATACAAAGGTCCTAGTGTAAATGACCTATATCCATTTACATCTTTGGTTGAGCGGTCTTCTTCACGTTCAGCTTCCTCTACACCGATTTGCTTAGCTGCTCATGTTAACAAGCATTCCTCTTATATTCTTTGGCATAATCGGTTAGGCCATCCTAGCCTCCCTATACTCAATTCTGTTTTTTTGTTTGCTTAGTTTATCCACTATTTCTTATGTTAACCATGCTTGTGAATTTTGTTTGTATGGCAAAATGAAGAAACTGTCTTTTTCTGCTTCTCATACTGCCTCTTCTTTTCCTTTGGAAATTGTTCATACTGATGTATGGTGCCCTACCCCTGAAATTTCTATCAATGAGTTCAACTAACTATGTTTCTTTCATTGATGACTTTACTAAATACACTTGGTTGTTTCCTATTGTGCATAAGTCTGATGTTTCTGATGTGTTCCGTCACATTAAACCCTTTGTTGAAAATTTACTATCTAGTCGTATCAAAATTCTTCGAAGTGATGGCGTGGGTGAGTTTGTTAACCATTCTCTTCGTTCTTTCCTTGCATCTCATGGCATCTTACACCAAAAATCTTGTGCCTACACCTTTGAACAAAATGGTGTTGCCGAAAGGAAACATTGACATATTATTGAAATGATCATATCTCTCATGACTAAAGCTTCAATTCCTTTGCATTTTTGGTCTTATACCTTCTCTGCAGTTGTTTTTCTTGTTAACAGATTACCTTCTCCTTCTCTGAGTAACAAATCTCCTTTTGAATGCCTTTTTAAACGTCTTCCCGATTATTCTCATCTCAAAATGTTTGGTTGTGCTTGTTATCCTTTGCTTAAACCCTATAATTCTCACAAACTTCAACCAAAAAAATCTCAATGTGTCTTTCTTGGCTATCCATTGGATTATAAGGGTTATTTATGTTATAACATGAGCACTAGCAAATTCTATACTTCTAGGCATGTCCGTTTTGAAGAGAACCGTTTTCCTTTTGGTATCTCTTCTTCCTTACCTATTTCTTCTTCTTCCCCACCTTCTATATTTTCTAATCTTCCTTTGCTTCTTTCTACTCTATCTTCTTCTTCTACATCTACTAATGGTTCTGCTACTACTACTAATTCATGTTCTCCCATTTATTCTGATGTTGCTAACCCATCACCCTACTGTCTCTTCACCCATTACTGTCCTTCAACCACCCTCTACCAACATTGTTCCTTCACTTAATGTTGCAGCCCCACTGGTTGATTTGCCTCCTTCTATCTCTACTGATTTGCCCACTTCTACCCTTACCCTTACCCCTACTACTACCACTTTTAGCCATCCATCTTTATCCACCAATATTCATCCTATGCAGACCCGATGAAAGTCCAGTATATCTAAAAAGAAGGTTTTCAAAGCTGCCATACCCTCAGTATGTGATATTGAACCTTTATCCTTTACCAAGGCATCTAAACTTCCTATTTTGCAGCAAGCTATGCAGGAGGAGTTTTATGCTCTTGTCAAGCAACATACTTGGGAGCTCACTACAAGAAAAAAGGCTTTTAGGGACAAGGAAAATATGTTGCTAAAAGCTGCATTTTGTCGCTAAAGATATTAGCGATGAGAGAGCAGGCGTCATATATATGCTGTCGCTAATAATTATATTAGTGACAAATTAATCGTGTCGCTAATAGTTGCTTTTAGCGACACGTATATCTGTCGTTGATAAATTTATTAGCGACAAAATGTTTGTTTTATCGCTATTACTATCAATGTTAAATTTTCAACACTTCCTTTTGTCGCTAAATTACTTGTTCTAACATTTATTAATCGTCAATTTGCACCTAAAAATTCCACAATACTTTTGTTGCTGAAACTAGTTTGAAAATCACCTCTAAATTACTTGTTCTAAAACATAAGTAATCGTCAATTTGCACCTAAAAATTCTACAATACAATTTATTCACAAGAACCTCCTAAATCATTTGAATTGTATAACGTCATAATATAAATCCAACTGCAAATAGTAAAAGTCAGTAAATGAAATATTATGTCTATTGTCATTATATCCAAAAAGAAAAAGAAACATATATTTCTCAAAAAAAAAAAAAAAAGACATACATCAAAAAAAGTATGACCCATTTGAATTTTCAGTTTGTCCCAAAAGTATTCTTCAAGATTAGACAAAATCTATACACCTGAAATGAATCAAATAATGTATCCATATTATTACATATAAATAGTAAAAGCGCTTTTCCTTTGGCTAAAGGCAAGAGTGCTATTGATTGTAAATTGGTGTATCATGTTAAACATCATCCTAATGGGTCTATTGCACGTCATAAAGCTCGCTTTGTAGCCAAAGGCTATCATCAACAAGAGGGCATTGACTATGATAAAATGTTTACCCTGTTATCAAAAAGCCTACTGTTAGGATTATTCTATCATTGGCGGCTCAATATGGTTGGGATCTTAGGCAACTTCATGTGAAAAACGCCTTTCTCCATGGTGAATTAACAGAGGAAGTTTATATGCAGCAACCTCAGGGCTTTGTACATCCTTCATTTCCTAATCATGTCTGCAAACTAGTCAAATCTTTATATGGTTTGAAACAGGCTCCTCGGGCGTGGTTTGAGTGTTTTACCTCTTACTTACTCTCGTTGGGATTTATTGCCTCAGCTGCTGATTCTTCTTTATTTGTGTATCAATTAGCTAGTCATTTTACTTTATCTCTTACTCTATGTTGATGATATCATTGTTATGGGCAATAATCCTTCTTATATTGATGGCCTTGTATCTCAACTACGCTTGCGTTTCGATATGACTGATCTTGGTGGTGTTAAATATTTTCTTGGGTTGGACATCACTCGGTCTATCAATGGTATTCATGTTTCACAAGCTAAATATGCTCGGGATCTTCTATCACGATTTGCCATGGCTGCAGCTAAACCTTGTCACACACCAATCTCTATCAAGACTATTTTTTATAATTCACAGCCTTGTTCTCCTTCAGATGTTCATGCTTATCGGGCTATTATTGGTGCTTTGCAATATTTTACATTTTCTCGACCAGATATTGTATTATCTATCAGCAAGTTGTCTCAATTTATGCATTCTCCATCATTATTTCACTTGGCTGCTGCGAAACGGGTTTTACGTTATATTGCAGGAACTATTTCTTCTGGTTTACTTTTTCAACGTAAAGTTTATGCCCCTTTATGTATTACTGCATTTTCTGCTCGAATTGGGCTGGTGACCTGGATGATAGGCGTTCTACCACTCGATTTATTGTGTTTCTTGGTCCTAATCCAGTTTCTTGGTCTGCCAAGAAACAAACAACCATTTCCCAAAGTTCTACTGAGGCAGAGTATCGGGCTCTTGCCTCCACAGCAGCTGAATTATTCTGGATTCGTCACTTGCTTCGTGATCTTGGTCTTGCTTTGTCTCAGCCACCCAAGATTTGGTGTGATAACCAGTCACTATTCAATTAGTTCGAAATCCGGTTGTTCCATGGCCGTACGAAGCATGTGGAGATCGATTTTCATTTTATCCAGGAGCGGGTTATTCGTAAAGACATATGCCTTCAATATATTTCTACTTTGCTCAACTTGCAGACTTGCTGACAAAACCACTTACTGGTGATCGTTTTCTGCTTCTAAAATCCAAACTCATGCCTTAGTTCGGCTTAGGTTTGAAGGAGGATGTTATATGTATTAGTTAGAAGCAGTTATATTTATTATTGTAACTATGCTTTCTGTTAGAACTATTGATTGTGTAATTAAACTCAAATAGCCAATCAATAATATTTGAGATTGAGATTATTATTTTATACATTTTTGTTAAAGGTAACATTAAATACTATATCAACTTTGTAGATGTCTATTCTAGATACACCTGGGTGTATTTTCTTACTTCCAAGTCAGAAGCATTTAAAGCTTTTACATTGTTTAAGGCTCAAGTTGAAAAATCTCTTAATTGCTCTATCAAGAGACTTCAAACAAACGGTGGGGTGAGTTTTGTTCTTTCATTCCTTTTCTCAAAACCCATGATATAGAACATAGAGTTACTTGTCCTTACACATCTTCCTAAAATGATATTGTTGAAAGAAAATATTGACATATAGTTGACACGGGTCTCACTCTTCTATCCCAAGCTTCCATGCCCATTACATTCTAGGATGATGCCTTCTTCGCGGTTTTATACCTCATTAATTGCCTCTCTATACCAGTCCTTAGTAATCTTTCTCCTCTTGAACAACTCTTTACTTTTAAACCAAATTATACTTTCCTTAAAAACCTTTGGCTGTCTTTGTTTCCCATCTCTTAGACCCTACAATAATCATAAGATTGAACCACGATCCACACCTTGCTTATTTCTTGGATATAGCAATAAACATTGCAGCTACAAATTTATCTCCGCATCAGGGAGAATATATATCTCACGGCATGTGCTATTCGATGAGACCTCTTTCCCTTACTCATCTTTAATAGGCAAGTCTTCTTATCCAAACATCACATCTCCTACATCTTCTCCTCTGCTAATTCTTACCAATCCTCATTCTTTTCTACTGATACACCTTCTCAATTGACAACTGATACTACTCATACACCAATTCCATCCCAGCTTAATACACCAACCAATTCATTTGTTCATCCATTCTCTCCCACTACCCAACTTACTGTCTCTCCTAATCTGAATACCGCTTCACATGCACCTACTATTTTTCATGAAGTTTCTTCCAATCCCATTGCATTAGATACATAAGATTCTATCCCTCTACAGATCATTCCTCAGAATGTGCATTAGATGATTACATGAGCCAAAAATGGGATCTTTAAACCCAAGGCTTTTTTGACTGATTATTCTGAAGTAGAACCACCAATGGTTAAGGCAGCTTTGACTCATCCAAAGTAACTGGCAGCTATGCAAGAAGAGTACAATGCTCTTCTCAAAATTCAAACATGGTTCCTTGTTCCCTTACCAGATAACAAGAAATTAGTAGGCTGTAAGTGGGTTTTCAAGATAAATAGGAACTCTGATGGGTTTATAACTCGATATAAGACTAGACTTGTGGCGAATGGATTTCACCATGCTGCAAACATCGACTATACTGAGACATTTAGTCCCATTATTAAACCCATTACMATTCGTATTTTGTTTACCATTGCCTTAACTCATAAAATATAAGGCTAGACTTGTGGCGAATGGATTTCACCATGCTGCAAACATCGACTATACTGAGACATTTAGTCCCATTATTAAACCCATTACAATTCGTATTTTGTTTACCATTGCCTTAACTCATAAAATATAAGGCTAGACTTGTGGCGAATGGATTTCACCATGCTGCAAACATCGACTATACTGAGACATTTAGTCCCATTATTAAACCCATTACAATTCGTATTTTGTTTACCATTGCCTTAAC